TGGAAAGGCTTTCAGGAATCAGGAGGGGAGTTATTCGCTGCAGTATTCCTAGCCTCTGACCTGCTCTTGTAGCCACCGTGTTTATGTGGTGAGTTCAGTTGAGTTCCTGATCAATGATAACCCCCAACATGTTGACAGTGGGGGATTCAGTGATGGTAACACTACTGAATGTCAAGGGGGAATGGTCAGATTGTTTCTGGTTGGTGATGGGCAGAGCCTGGCATTTGTGCAGTGTGAATATTACTCGTCACATGTCAGCCCAAGACTGCATTTGAACATGGACTGCTTCAGTACCTGAAGAATTGCAAATGGTGCTGAACCTTGAGGAGCACCTGCAGAGATGTCCTGGAGCTTAGATGACTGACCTCCAACAACCACAACCATCTTTCTAATTGTCAGGTATGACTCCAACCATAGAAATTTGCCCCAGATACCCATTATTTAATTTTACTATTAAGGAGAAGTCAGAGATGTGTTGGACATACTGTTCATTTTTTTGTTCTTGTAGGTCTTCACTTGTTGGTGAAAATCCAACAAAAAGACATTGAAACTTGTCTAGAGAAAAAAAACTAGTCCATAAAACTAGTACAAAAATATCTGCCCTATTCTCTCTTAGAAGTTTTCCATACTATTTACTCTGCATGATTAAAAGTGAATTAATTAGATAGTTTCCTGTTTTGAAAAGTTACCTATGCACTCCTCATTGGACATTTTAAAATAATCTAAAATTGTAACAAACCTAACAATACCTTTTTATAATATTATCAGTGTGTCTCACACTGCAATACTCCTGCAAAGCACAAAGGCATTCAATTTGGAATATATTTTGCAACTGCTATTCTGAGGCCTTTACTGTCACAAGTTCTTTCTCTTAATTTCTACAGGCTGCTCTTTGCTGGTTTCTTCTCATGTCCCCTAGCATCAATGGAAGTCCTATAAATTACAGAGTAACGTAGAGTAGGTGGAAACACAGGATCATAGCTCTCTAACTCTTTCCCTGCTTTGTGCCTGAGAATTTGTTCTGTTTTTTTTAAAGTTGTAGTCACTTGCTTAAAACTTTCTAATTTCAAACTGTTTGCCTATTCATGCAATAAAGTCTGTGCAGACAATGGGAGACCTACCACAGAAATATATGCATTTCTGTTCACATTAATTTATCGATGTTATCGCCATGGTTTCAAATGTTGTCACATTATACTAGAAAAAGACATAACAAATTCCTATGTCCACACCTATAATGGCAATATTCCATGTAAACTTCTCAAACTGTAGCTAAATAATCTAACCACTAGGTGGCTACTGTGCATCAAGTTTGAACAATTTCAAAGCCTCGGTGCAGGATTTTGCACTTTCATCCAGGATCTCAGCAACAGGGTAAAATGAGAATCCTGACCCCAAACTGTCTTGCAGAGTCACCCAATTTTACCAGTGATTTTACCAGAATTGGCCAATCACTTTTCATTTAAATAAAGGCAACAGCCAGGCACACACAATTGGAGGGCTAACGGAGACCCTCCAGCACAGAAGGTTTAACAGTCAACCATTGTAGGTAAGTTTGACAAAGGACACCTCCACTTTGAGGTGACGTTGCAGCACTTTTACAACTTCTAAAGTAAAACATGACCACCGTAACAATGGCCCAATAGGCTGTAAGGAAATATGAACCTCAAAGTTATGCTGGAGACAGGGAGCACATCCAGCAGCCTCTCATAATTGGCCCTCAAATTACTTTAACAATATCACACTGCTTGCAGGCATCTAGATGTTCTTCCCCTAAACTTGCTCCAGCAATTGGTGAGGCCACTTTTAGAATACTGTGTACAATTCTGGTCATCCTTCTTTAGGAAGGATATTGTTAAATTTGAGAGAGCACAGAAAAGATTTACAAGGATGTTGCCAGGACTGGAGTGTTTGAGTTGTAGGTCTGAATAGGCTGGGACTGTTTTCCCCTGGAATGGCAGTGGCTGGGGGTGACCTTATAGAGGTTTATAAAATTTGAGGAGTATGGATAGGGTGAATGGCCAAGGTCTTTTTCCTAGAGTGGAATAGTCCAAAACTAGAGGGAGTAGATTTAAGGTGAGAGGGAAAAGATTTAGAAAGGACCTGACGGGTAAGTTTCTAACACAGATGGTGGCATCGGTAGAGTGAAGCAATAGGAGGCACAATAAAAGTGTAAGAGTAAGAACAAAACAGATAATTCTGGAAGAGTTTGAGAAGAGAATGGCTATGGATCAATTCTTAACAACTAATACCCAAATATAGCCTGCTGTTGTTGATTGTGTCTCTCCTCACCAAGTTGTATATCCCAACTGAAAGGAAAACTCAGAAGTCTTGCTGGGGGGTGGGGGGTGGTGCAGGAGACTTGAATAAACCACTAAAGGGTAACATTCAAACTAAGCCTTCTTGCTTCACTTAACAAGGAACCGGTAATAAAAAAACTTTTGAAAGCTAGATAATCTGAAACTAGGTGACCATCTAACATGTTTGCATCCTCAGATTGATGAAAAGCACAATGTACTAATTTAGAATTATGCGCAGCTAGTTGTACCTTTATCTATGTTTGATCAGCAACAAAAATCAACATGATGCAAAAATGATCAGATTGGAGTGTCAGAATGGAGGCAGAAGAGTTTTTAAAAAGGGTTTCTAAAAGGTGGGTAGAATTGAATTCTGGGATTCAGTGCCCCATTCCCATTTCCTGCAAATTCTAACAGCGAAGTATAAGAGTGTGAGGAGTATTCCGACATACTTTTGGTCAGTGTTCAATAGCGAGAGGGACAATATGGGTATAGAAATCAGGGAGAAGGTCTAATGATAAAATTTTAAAAACTAGCATAGGCAAAAAGGAAGTTTTTACAGGCTTAAAAGTAGATAATTATCCATGGCTGGACGAAATGTATCCTGGGTCGTTGAGTGAGGCAAAGAAGCAAATAGCAAAGACACTTACAAAAATTTTCAATTCCTCTCTGGCCACAGAGGAGGTGCTGGAGGACTGAAGGATAGCCAATGTGGTACCTTTGTTCAAGAAAGAAGCAAGGGATAAACCAGGAAACTACAGGCCAGTCAGGGTAGCCTCAGTGGTTGGGAAATTATTGAGAGATAGAATCAATCTGCTTTTGGACAGGCATGGATTAATCAAGAACATTCAGCATGGTTATATTAAGGGAAAGTCACTTCTGACCAACTTGATTGAATTTTTCTACAGGGTGACCAAGTTAAGTATGAAGACAATGCTTTTGATGTAATCTACTTCAACTTAGCAAGGCCTTTGATAAGGTCCCACATGGGACACTTATAGCAAAGGAAAGAGCCCATGAGATCCAACTAAATTTGGCAAATTTTGATGCACAGTTGGCTGAATGACAGGGAACAGAGGGTGATGGTTGAGTGGTGTTTTTCCAACTGGATATCTTTGTCAAGTGGAATCTCACAGGGATAAGTGTTGGGCCCCTTGCTGATTGTGCTCTCTATGAATGATTTACACTTGAATGTGGGAGGGTTGATCGGTAAAGAGAGCTTTTAGACTGCCTATTGGCCAATGTTTGTAAGTGATTATTAGTTTAAGTAGTTAAACAGGTTGTTTGATGGTGGGTTTTTTAAAACATATTCAGCTTTGCCATCCACTCACTTCCATTACGGCTTCAACCATAACTTCAGCCAAAGTACATCTGCTGACATGAAGAAAGGTCAAGCAGGTTCCAATAGCGTAGCCTTGATGAAAATCTAGCACAAAGAGTCAGAGTAGGAAACATGATATGCACTTAGAAGACATGAGAGGCATTTTTATTTATCTTCAGATCATATATGGATTTTGATGTCCAGAAAACTTGGCATAACAGTGTAGTTCCATGGAACATGAAAAAGGCACAAATGAAATCTCACGGATAACCTCATTACTTTGGCAGGCTAATGTTGCAATAGCATTTGCATTTAGAACCTTACCACTGGCAAGAACAGATATCAGGCCCTGTTGCAGTAAGCAGATGCCTCCAGAAGGCTAAAATGTCTTAGCCAAAGTTTTGAATCAGACTGCTTCTATTACATACTATAATTTCAGCAATAGTTTTTATTTTTAGTTCATAATTTGATTTATTTAGAACAAAAGAATTGAGTTTCTTTGAAAGGTAAATGTTTTCTTCATTTTTGCACACTATATTTTGTAGGGCAATTCAAGCATGGCACAACAACGACCAGCTCATCCCCACCCGCTCTAAGAAATACTCTTTTAATCGGACATTTTACACCACTTCACCCTAAGAAGTGGCTGGCAAGTTTGGAGGGAGGCATGAATCAGGTGGCATGTTGGGAGCCACCATTCTTGTCACCTACGTACCTCTACTTGAATTTTACCAGTGGCAAGGGCAAGTGTTGGCCCAGCAGTTCACCAGGAAACTCTTAAGTGATCGTATTTGAGGGCCTACTCCCTCCACCGTTGGTATTTTTCCTGCAGTAGGAAGTAGCCAGATGACATGGTAAAGCCTGACAATTCTTGCTAATCAACTGTGGGCTCAGGATATAGGGGATGGTCACATCCACTTGTCCCTCCCAACCTGGCCTCCTGATTGTATCTCTCTCCTTTGTCGGAATCTGTATGACTGGGCTCAGTCAAGGCACATCGACCTCCATACCAACATCGGAACAGGAATTGGCTATTCAGCCTTTCAAGACTGCCCTGTCATTCTACACTATCATGGCTGATTGAACACTTTAATGTCCTGCAGTGTTGAAATTATAGCCAGGTGGATCTCATTGACTAGGAAATCCTTGATTGGGGTTGTTAACCTGGGCTAATCAGGGAATGCTGGCTGACAGATATAAACAGCAGTTTGAGAGCGTCTCCTCAGTCTAGGGACTGGCTTTGAGCTGGCTAGTCAGAGCCTATGCACTGTGTGCATGTAAATAATGGTGACTTGGTGACTTGGTGACTTGGTGACTTGGTGACTTGGTGAC